ATTCCTCCACGTCCCCGGCCCATGCAAATGGCTGTTCCTAACAGGATCCCTTGCTCCTGACGGGGCGGGCAAGGATCTCCCAGGGCCCTGGTCCCATCTAACTGAGGAGCGGGACAGGATGAGAAATTTCCTCTGACCAAGAGGCAGCAGAGGAGGCCGACGGGGGTGGGGGTATCCTCTGAAGGGAGAGAACAGCGGAGGAAGAGCCCACCCAAACCAGAGAGCAGGTGGCGTCTGCCCAGACCAGGAAATGAGTGACAGGGGAAAGGAGGGGGGAGCGGCAAGAAGGTGCTGGTTGAAAGGCCAAAGGGGAACCTAGGAGAGGCCAGCTCCCCAGAGAATGGTGGAGACTCACAAGTCACCCAAGCCAGAAGGTCCCCCATGCCTGAAAGACAGAGTGGGAGAACCAGAGCTGCAGAGGGGGACGAGCTGGAAGGGCACAAATGATGCGTCCTGGTGACCACAGAGGATGCAGAGGGAAGGGCGAGGTCAGAGATGCCAGCCCCCAGCTGAGCTGTGAGAGAGGACAGACGTCTCAGGTACCCCTCCTCCAGGAGTACAGGAGGCAGACTCCCCGCTGGGAAAAGCAGAGGAAGGGGAAGGGGCCGATCACCAGGAGGGGTGGCAGATGGTCGCTGTCATTAAACGGATTCCAGTAAGTCCAGGAAGCCTTAGACAGCACGGACAAGCTTGGGTAAGCATTGGGAGGAGAGAATTGAGGAGCAGAGCCTCGGAGGAAAGAACTTCCTACCCAGAAACCGCACACCAGCCTGTATGGCTCCACGCAACTAACGGGCGTCCCTACTCCAATCCCAACTGCAAACAGCAACCTCCCCACAAAACCAAACCCAACAACAACCCCAAACCCAAAACAAACCCAAAGAACAACTTAACCCCAAAAGGCCAAGAAAAACCCAACCCAATGAAAGGAAAACGGGCAAAAGCCCCCCGGAACCCGGGCCAAGAATAAGTGATCCACAGATGCATATGGAATCAATGGTGACCTAAACCGTTAACCTCGGTCCTTACCAGGAATCCCTGCTTCCAGCCCAACCCCACCTGCCTCTCCCACCCTCATTCTTAGCATTAGCCAATCCCGAATCCCTGACTGTTCCCCACCCTAACACTAAAGGCCACTGTGCCTTACTCCAATCTCATTGCCTCTAACTCTAACCCCAGTTTTTCCCTGCCCCTACACAGCGGGATAGATGCAGACCTTAGAATTCCCTTAGGGCAGAGACAAACAAAAGGTGCCCACTCAACCCATGGAGGCAGAACTCTCAAGACTCATCATGGATGCTCCTACCTGCCTCTCACCCAGCCACCCAAGCCTTCTGCCCCTTTGTCCCCTTCCCAGCGGCTGGGTCCTAGAAACTGGGGCTGAACATGGGCTTGGGGGCTGGTCCAAGGTTATGAACCCAGGACAAAGGAACCTGGTCCTCGAGACAGTAATAAGAATGAATTAAGCCTGAGGAGGCGAATTGGAGCAGACATCTGCTAAAGGAACTGACTCCAAAGCCTGACATCTACCACCCAAAGCCTGACCCCTGGCCCAGATCCTGGGCGAAGGGGGTGCTTTCCAGAGTGCCCAGGAAGGCTGTGGGGGGGGGAGGGTGCTGTGCAGGGTGCTGAGCTGCTCTGGAGCCTCTTTCTGATGGCCCCGCGACTCTGGAGCAGGGAGCTCTGGCTGCAGGCCCCCGCCCACCCTCTCACACCTCCGAGGAGCACGGTTCTCCACATCTCTTAGGACCTGTCACCGCCGCGCCCGGGAGAGGATCCGACGAGTATTATGTTCTGTTCTTGCTGCAGCAGATCTGATTATGAGGACGTGTGATGGATGAGCTGAGTTTGGACCCCCAGCTCAGGGAGCGGGATGATGGAGTTAGCCTGTCACACTTTCCCCAGGGGACGCCGCAGCGGGTCCCAGATGTCGTCTGGAACGTGCATACCTAGGAGATGTCTCCCTAACCAGCGTCCCTGGAGACGGAAGGTCCCTCCTGGCTTCCAACTGTTTCTCGTTATAAAGACCTTGGAGCCCCAGAGCACCCGCACTAGCTCGGATCCCAGTCCTGCAGAGAGTAGGATCAGGAACCCCCGTGTCTCCATCATTGGCCCTGAGTGGGACCTGTCGCCTCTGGCCGGTTGCCAATATCTGTGGGGGCCCCTTTGAGGGAGGGGGTGGGAAAGCTTGCCTCTGCTCTTGGCTAGGGGCCTCCAGGCATTTCTCATTGACAGCCATGGGCCTCGGAAGCCTGGGGCAGGGCAGGGAAGGAGGGGGGAGGGAGCCAGTACAGAATAATAATGAAGGATTTTTAATAACTCGTCAGCTCTAGTGTCAGCTCCGCAGCAGCGGCAGCACAGCCCGTTGGGAAAACTTGGCGAGCAATTGTCTTCCTAGGAAGCGAGAGAAGTCAGAGGGGATGAGAGCAAGGAGGAAGAGTCCCCCGCATCCAGAGTACCAAAAAGCTTCCCGTTACTATCCAGCCCGAGGGGCAGGACAGAGTGCAAACAGAATTACAGAGCCCCCAGGCCTGGCCCTCTGGGAGCATCCACTCTGGGCCAGATCCACAGGTCACAGGTCGCAGACAGAGCTGAAGACACACCGGCCATCTCTGGGGTCCTGACAGAGTACCGTCAAGACACCTCTCGAGAGAAACGCATCCCCCCAACTTGCCCTGTGAAATCAATCGACGGGAAGGCAATTATATGCTTATCAAAGAGCTTCTCCTCTTCCCTGATAATCCACTCAGGAATTGTCTGAAGTGGCAATGTCATCAAAGGAGGGGAGACAAAGCCCCTGGTGACCACCTCTTCAATGGCCTCGTTTCTCAGACGAGGACACCGAGGTCCAAAGACACTGCGGAGCGTTGGTGGCAGAAGCAGGACTCCTAGAAACTAGAAATCCAGGTCACCTGAGAACTAACGTGATCTTAACCTGCGAAAACAGAATTTAGAGACCCTTTTCAGGGGGCCAACTGCTCCAAAGAGGGGGGTATCTGGATCTGCTGGAATGTCAAGGGCAGTGGGTTTGGGGTGGGAACGAAGGGGAGACCTGGGGTAACCATCTTAGCCATCACACATCCCCTCTTCTCCTAGGATCACTCTAGGAAGGCTTTCGGTGGCTCTCGCTGTGGATAAGAAACACAGGCTTGGTACAAGGGGAGGCGCCTCCATTCTCAGGCAGAAAGCGAAGACTGGATGACGGCTTTCCCTCTTCCAGGAACAGAAACTAAGGCACCAAGGAGTAAGCACGTGTTCCAGAAGAGAAGTCCGGAGATGAGACTCGGGCGTCAGCCCCCAACCCCAAGCCGTCAGCCCCCCGCCCAGCCAGCTGCTCTGGAAGATGTAAAGTGCTATCTAAACGTGATGCATTATTAACACTTTAGAAATCATATTTCACAGCCGCCCTGCTGGAGCTGGAAAGTGAATTCTTCCTCCAGCTCTCCAGCAGGGGAATTATTGTTGGAGCCAAATGTGACAGCAATGACATGTGACGGGGGCCAAAAAGAGAGGGCAGGCAGTCGAGGGTGCAGGCCATGGACACCCACCTGGGCAGATCCTGGGGGGTTCCTCTTCTGCACAAGGGCTCTGCCCAGGCAAGGCAGCCCACCTGACCCCTGCCTCTCTCCCTCATGGTCATCAGCCTTCAGGGGTGCCTGGCAGGAGGCGGAAAGAGCCCAGGACCCCTCCCCAGGTGCTGCCCAGCACTTCCCCAGGTGCAGAACCTGCTTCTGCCTGTGAGGAGGAGGAGTTGCAGAGGGCGGAGGTGCTCCAGCCCGATGGGAGAGGCGAGTCCTCTGGAGGGAGACAGGAGGCCAGAAGACCTGTCACTGCTCCACAGGGACTTTTTGAAGGAGAGGGACCAGCGCTGCATGAGGAAGAGGTGTCTAGGTAGCGGTGAGTGACTCCTGGGCAGGACCAGCGGTGCTGTGGGACAGTGGCCCGGGGAAGAGTGCTGACAGAGGGGAACTGGTTGTGCCCATTGGGGTTGGAAGGAAAAGCCTGGGCAGGATGGGGAGGGGGGAGTGCATTCCCTGCCTGGCGGGCGGGCGGGAGGAAGCTGTCAGTGAGCTACATCCTGTTCTCACTGGAGAAGCACCAGCCATGGAGAGGAAGGGAGGAGGGAGGCAAGGGAGAGCCAGGCCTCAGGTGGTGGATACGGAAGAGAGAGAGAGCTGCCAAAGTCACTGCCGTCCCCATCCGGGACCCCAACCCTACACCTTCCTAGAGGGCTTTGAGCTTCTGTCCGTGTGCCCCGTAGGCAGTGCAGGCAGCTTATAATTAGGCATCGGGAACAGACGAACCAATTTTCAATTAAAACCTTATCTACGGGGTGCATGGATAGAAAGGCGGGGAGGTTTTGATTCTTTTCTAAGCCAGCCTTCAATATTTGCAGTGCCTGGAAGGAGACTCGCGGAGGGCGCCCAGGCAGCCCTGGCGACATATAAATTCTGCTCATAATTACATGACTTTCAACACCACGAGGTGCCAATAAAGTATTTGCAAGGCACACAAATTAGCAGCGTGTTGGTGTTCCCGGGACGGCACGAGGATGGCCAGGGCACAGGGAGGGGGCTGGTGCTCTTGTCTGTGAGTCTGGAGGGACTGAGGCAACCCACAAAAGAGGACCCCTCAGCTTTGCATCAAAGATACCCCCGATTCAGGTTCCCCCCGACCTTATCTCTCTTATCTCTCCCGGATCCCCAGCTCTGTTAGGGCTGCAAGAATAAAAGATTTAAGATGTGTCTCTTCCAGAAGGAAGTGGAAAGGGGCCTGAGGGAACCGAGGCAAGTGGAGCCGCTGAGCTGCAAACAGCTGTTGGTGGTGACAGCAAATGTCAGGCTCAGGAGCTCAGGAGAGGCCCCTCCCCGTCCTCAGCTTGGTGTCTTTTCTTGCCACCTTGCAGGGTGGCAGGCCGGGAACCCTGGGTTTCTTCACTCCCGTCCATTCAGAGGGGAAGGCAGGTGGGCAGGCTGCAAGCACTGACACCTTCAACCAACCAAGTTTCACCAGGGGAGAAACTCCGATCACGGATGGCTCAAGAATACCCTCGGAGAAGACCTGGAAGACGCCTTCGGACATGCTCTACGACAGGAAGGTCCCTGGGTGCACGGGAAGCGTCCCCACCTCCAGACTCAGTTAGGCAGTGCACGTGTCAGGAGCCGCAACTGCCATTTCCCCGTGGCTCTATTATTTCAACATCCCCCAGCACAGGTCTCTCTGCAGGAGAAGATACTTGATAAAATAAACATTTGTGGAACTGAACGGAATTGATGAAGACAGATATGAGGAATTCGAATGGCAACTTGGTGGGAGAGTAGCAAAGAACATGTCCTCTGGGTCCCGGCGGGTAGAGCTCAGGGGTAGGGCACTTCCTAGCATGTGGGAGGCCCTGCGTTCCATCCCCAGCGCCACCAATCACAACCACATAAACATGACCCCTGGGACCGGAGGACCTGGGCCAGCCTCCAGCTCTGCCAGTTACGACTGGGGAAACCGTGGGTGGGCCAGCACCCCTCCGTAGGCCAGGTGTCCTCGACTGTAAAATGAATGGGCTGGACAGAAGATCTGGAAGACGTCTTCCAACTCCCAGGAGGATACGAGTTCTTTGAGGCCCGGGAGGGGACTCTGGGATGGATTTTGAGAAACTGCCATGATGAGTCCCCAAGACAGGATGAGGTTGACCATCAGCACACCACTCAGAGCTCAGGATGCTAAGACCATCAAAAATTAAATAACAGCAACACTGATGTTTCCATGAATGTCCACAGGCAACGTGGCGGCCCAAGTCTTGCTTCTCACTTCTGTACGTCTCCACCAAGTTCAAGCAATCTCCCATCTGGTCACAGAGTCACCCTCATTCCAAATCAACCCCATCATTTCCTTGATATCCTTTGGCCTGTGATTCCAGAAGAAAACTGGCAGAACTTATATAAGATTGATTTATTTCAGTTCTGTTCTATTA